AAGATGAGATCCAGGAAGGCAGTCAGAAATCTCTGGCCAATAAATAAACTGGGCTATTACTGACAGCGCAGGGCCCAGGGGATGCTAAGTGTGGTAGCACTGTGGTCTTCATATGGGTGAACTCAGTGTCCAATTACTGCCCATCCTCTGTACTCAGAGAGCATAGCACATTCAGAGAAAACATTCTGTTATTCTGGAGAGAGTAATCAATATATCAGTCATCTCCAAGACTAGGATAAGCCTTTTAATAGGAATAGTGCGGGCAAACAACACAACTAGTTTTAAGATGGAGTTTGATAAATTCATGAACAGGGTTATATGATGGGGTTGCCTGTGATAGCAGGGGTCTGGACTTGATGACTGAAGAGGTCCCTTTGAGTCCTATGTCCTCTGTTCCTAGCACTCTAGTAGCAGTAGGCATCTTTCAATCTCAAGAGACTACGGGTATGTGCCCCTGAGAGGTAAAGAATTTACTCAGTTGGTGTTATGGCAGCTGTGCCTGAAGGGACCCACTAGAGAGAGACAATCTCTGCCGTATCTGTGACATTTAAAGGTGATGTTTTGACCCTTTGGGCTCTGCCTTCTGTGAGCTCTTTTTCCCCCGCTAAGCTGGACGGCTTCCTCTCTTAACTCCGGAGACCTTTGTTAAGCTCTTGTTTCCAAAGGCTGCGGTCTTGAGTGTGATCTTCCCAGTTGTCCACATCCATGTCCATTTCTTTGACGTATCGCTTGCACACATTCTTGAAACGCAATTCTGGGCGTCCTTTGGGTCTTTTTTCAGATGCCAATTGGCTGTAGAGGATGTCCTTTGGGATGTGCCCATCATTCATTCGGCACACATGCCCAAGCCAGTGGAGGCCTCTCTGTTCGAGGAGTGTTTGCATGCTGGGTGTGCTGGCCTGCTTGAGCACCTCAGTCTTGGTGACTCTGTCCCTCCAGGGGATTCCAAAGATTTGACGAAGGCAACGCATATGAAAGCTGCTGAACCTCTTTTCCTGATGAGAGTATAAGGGCCATGTCTCACTCCCATACAAAAGTGTGCTGATAACACATGCACGATACACACAGATCTTTGTGTGTTCTGTCAGTTTGCTATTTTACTAGACCCTCTTGTTCAGTCTAGACATTGTTGTGGCGACTTTTCCAGTGAAAGGTTGACTGCGATAGGGGATCCCAAGTATGTGAACTCATTCACCACTTCAAGTTACAAGTTAGCATAAAATGATCCTATGAAGAGAGCTTATACATTCATTCATGCTGGGTTTCATCATGGGATTTTTTTTTTACTTTAACTGTAAGATAAATAACTTGGCAGAAATTTGCTGAGGTTCCATTTTTAACAGTCTCTCTCTTCTTTTTTTTTTTTGCAAAGGTGATAATTTACTTGTTTTTCAGTGTCTTCATTTAAGTAGAATAATAACAAGTGTCTGTCTGACTTCAGTATGTATGTATGTGTTTGAAATTGGTTTATGTAGTGCTTCCTTGCATTAAATAGATTTTGTTTGAAAAGGTGAGAGCTGGTGAGACGAGTGAGTGCTGCCCAGCTGCAGCAGTGTACCTGGCAATAAAATAGCCGATGTACCCCCTTGCACTCTGCCTGCAGCCCCTTCCCCCCCTCCCAATTCTTTTACATCTCTATTGACTGTATCACCTCTAAAATGCTTCTTAAAATGACCCCAGTGTGTTAGTCAACTAGTATTGGCTAATGCTGTGATGTTCGGCATAAAGGGGATCCTGTTCAGGGCTACTGCTTTGGGAAACAGCTCTCAAGATTGCCAGTATGCTGTCACCAACAGAGAGCGCTTGGCGGAAGCAGAGGAGCGTTGAACATACCCATACATTTCTCAACCAGTTCAGCTCACCTCTTTGCATGTTTTATTCAACAAAACTTTGCACGCTGCCTAGTGTAATGGGGTCTCCAGTCCTGACTGAGGCCTCTAGGCATTACTGCAAAACAAATATCATGTAATAATGCTGATGGGTTTACTATTTACTATAGTAAACAACAGTGGTGAAATGGTAAATAAAACTATCCCCTCCCTGCCCAGGGGCCGCAGGGACGTGCGGGCTCCTTCCGGGAGCGTCGCAGAGCCAGGGCAGGTAGGAAGCCTGTTCCCCGGCATGCTGGGAGGCAGGGGGAGGAGTTGAGGGAGGGGGAGGAGTTTGTCAGCTGGGCCCGTGGACCCCCTGGAGTACCCTCAGAGACCCCCAGGGGTCCGCAGACCCCAGTTTGAGAAACACTGCCCTATGGTGTAAACTGACCTTAACAGCTGTAGAAGCTTAGCCAGTAAATATTGTCATTTCATTCACATAGTGTTTAGAACATTTTTTTTTTAAGTAGGACACAGCCCAAGTCTGATGCAGGATGTAGGCAGGGCAGGTCACAAATCTCAACTCACTTGGTCTCCGTGCTGCCAGAAACCTTCACTAATCCCCAGCATAGCATGCCCAATGCCACCTGCTTACCTGCTGCTGGTTCCCAACCCAAAAACTGAGGAACTAACTAGAAGAGGAGGAGGAAGGTTGGCTTGGAACATACACCGGTTGGTGTGTGAAAGCACTGGTTGGAAGCCGAAGTGGGTGATAACAGCCTGGCAGCAGTGAATAGACAGGTGGATGTGGTCACAGTATCACACTCACCGACTAAT